TGGAAGCAGAAATTTAGGAGGTTGGATGGGCAGATGTGGATTCCGACRGCATGCAGATGTTGAAGGAAAGTGGATCAAACTTGAACATACTATAGGGACGACACCATGACCCAGGGCTGCTGGAAGGAGGTGACACAGAGCACCTGGACAGAACTTGAGCACCATTCAGCAGGTTAATAGAAGATGCTTTCTCCCTCCTCCTCTTTCCTTTCCATTTTTGTTTAAGGTRGAAATATTCCACCTGGAACTTGGGTGCCAGAGGCTCTGCCACCAGTATCTATCACAACTAGTGAATATCACAACTAGAGACCACAACATGCCCCTATTTTCTTTCCAGTGCTGAATCAGGAGAACCCTGAAAGCCATTCTCATGGACAGAATGTTTTCTTTGTTCCTCTGAGAAAAAACCAACAACTCTTTGGGGGACAATGAGGCTGCCTGCATCAAGCCAAGCAGGCGCTCCAGGCCGGGTGATAGTCGCACAGTGGTGGCTGGGGCTGCAGCCCCTGAGACTTCAATACTTGATTTGGTATCAACTGTGACATCCCATGAGAGGTCTTTTTCTCAATGGAATAAATGTTCTCCGTCAGGTTCATGTTCGATACCTCCTCCCCAGAATTTATTTCAGCATCACGCTTTGCTGTCAGAAACAGTGTTCAGACATGGAAATGACACAGGGGATAGATGGATATCCAGGTTTCCATTCTCATCTGGCTGCTATTCTCTTCCGGCCTCTCTCTTCTCCCTCAAAGCAGCACATGGCTTTCAGATATCTCAGGTTGCAGACTGCTGCTGCCTCTCAGTGGTGGTCCCCAAATCCATGTAGGAGTGTGTGGATGCTGCAGCCCTCTGCTCAGACAATGGTAGCATGTGAGACCCAAGAGCCTGCATCTCTCCCTCCACTGGCCTGGGCCCCAGCACATATGTGATGGCCCCATTGCTTCCTATTCCTCAACCTCTCTACCCTGTAYTGGGAGACTCCCTTAGCTCCTGCACACTCAGATGGACTCGCTTACAAGATGTTGAGGTCCCAGAGAGTAAGTTACAATTMAAACAGTGACCCCAAAGATCTTCTGGCAGGATTCATGGACACCTTTAGCATTGGAAAAAATAATCCATAAATGCATAGGAGACAGAGGATCAAAATGGAATTCAATTATATTAAAATACAATTCCATCCAACTTCCGATAGGGATCCACAGATTCCATATCATAAACAACCTATTGGCCAAACCTTCTGCTGAAAGCTGGGGAAATTTTTTAAGTTTCCTGAATAAATAAAAGGTAGGAACAAGCTTTATGTCTCTATTGCTGGTCCTACTTAGAACATTGAAAACAAAACAGAAATCTCGCTCCTTCTGCATTTAAAAAGTCTAACTGAATTCTGTCCACATGAGAAGGTGTGGAGGTAGCTCTGCTGGCCCTCTGGGTATTCATAAGACCTGACTTTGCTTTCTACAGGAAAAGATTACTGGACAAAGACTATTTCCCAGTAAACATCTGGAAAAACTTAAGGCCACAAAAACTTGACTGAGGGTTCAATCAGTGAATGGTAAACTGCTTGCAGATGTTGCAGCTGCTATAACTTGATGGCAGTGGGCCCAGTTCCTCTGCTTTGGGGTGGGCTTTGTCAAGTTTAGAATGCTAGCTTCCAAGCCTGCTACAGAAAACCCAGCCCTTGCTATTTCTCAGGAATTACTGAGCAGTTCACATCACCATTGCTCTGCTGAGGAGGTGGGCAGGTATGTAACCTAAGGGCGGTGACCCCTGACCAGTCTCTTAGCTGATCCCTTCTCTCCCTTTCTCTCTTTGCTGGGACAACAGAACACACTGGTTAAGTGTATGATTTTGTATTAGGGTTTAAATTTTCACTGTATCCCTTGAGAAAAGCTGTGTGACCACTTCCTCTCCTTTGCCCCTCAGTTTTCTCRTCTCCTGCCTTTCAGGATGTGGTGACAGAAAGCACCAAGCCAGCATCTACCTGGTGTGCACRTTCCATAGTTAGGAGTTATTGTTCTCATCAGCTCTAAATTGAACTCTGTGCCTTACCCACTGAGGCCCTTATGAACCAAGTAGATGTTAAGGCAGGTGTGAACAGCCCAGTGGATGTGTTCAGGGAAGCCCACCCACTGTGACCAGAGCAGACTGTGTCTCCAGCACACCTCAGCAAGATGAGCAACTGACCACCATCGCATGAAGAGAAAATCTTGCTGCTTCCTTCCCCAGACCTCCACAGCTCCTGYATCTCAGTGCCTACTYTCTGCCTCCTCTTTTGTTTCTATGCAGAACCCCCTTTGTTTCTCAGAGTCAACGCCTCCTCCACCTGAGCTCTGGATCCCATCCCCGCCCTCCCACGGGTTTCTCTTGCCTTCTCTCCCGAATGGTCAGGGCTTTCTCTACTGTAYCTCCCTATCCCCATGCATGCTCTCAACCTCTCCCTTAACCTCCATGTCTGCTTTCATCTACTAAGTATTTTSTCTATTTTCCTTCAACTTCAGAGAGTATTGCTGTCTCCTCTTTCCCTCTTCAAACTACCCAAATTTGGCTTCTATCCGCATTACTCCAGAGACAACTGCTGTCAAGGTCAACCCTTTGTTATTCAATCTGTCGGTCACTTCTTTGAACTTAAACTCTTTGACTTCTCAGTAAAAGCTRATCATTCCTTCCTTCTTCCCTTGGCTCTTTGATGCTCAACATCCTCTCTTCTTTCTGTCTCTTTTATTGACTCCTTGTCCTCTGCTCAATTTCTARAGGTTAGAAAGTACTAATCATTTCTTTATGCTCCCCCTTGGTGACCCCATTCATTCCCATGACTTTGTAGACCATCTATGTTCTGATGACTCCCAAATCTCTATCTTCAGAATTTCCATTTCCATTCAACCTAGAAATCGAGGAATCTGTCTTGAATTCCCTCTTTCCTCATCTTCCACATTCAATCCATCAACAAGTTTTGTCTACTTGGTCTCCAAAGAAATCCCAAATCCATTCACTTCTCTCCATTTCTATTACAATTGCTCTAGGCCAAACCACTGTTTGCTGTCCCCTGAATAATTGCAATAGCTTCTCAGCTGATCCCTCTGCAAGTATCYAGCAATCCATCTTGGAATAAGCTGAATTATCTGACCGTGCTCTTGCTTAAAACCTTCCAATGGTTCCTCACTTACTTGAAATGAAATCTAAATTCCTCAAAGCAAGATATTACCCAGCTCCTCCCCAACTCTCCACACTCATCTCCTCCTTGCATTCTCTATRCCAGACACAATATTCTTTCTGTCCCTTGAAGATATAAAGTCTATTTCCATCTTAAGACCTTTGCACTGGCTCTTCTTCCTGGAATGCTTTCCCCATTATGCTTGAATGACTGGTTCCTTTTTATCATTTACACCTYAGTTGAAATGTCAGTACTCAAAGATGCCCTTCCCAACCACCAAACTGGGATCAGCCACCCTTCACTGCTGACCAGTCACCATCTTCTTCCATAGATATTCTCCTGTATGCCGGTAGGTCTGACTGTCCTCTGTAAAGTAAGTGCCACAAGAAGTGGAACTTTGTCTATCTTCTTCACCACCACAGGACTTGAACAGTGCCCAAACATGTATTATGCACATGTTGYGTTGCTGAGTATTGTTGAATGAGTGAATGAATGGATAAATGAGTTAGTAACAGRGCAAGGGCCAGGACACAGGCCTCCTGCCTTCCTGTTCTTTTCTGTGTGCCTTATCAGGTTGCTGTTTTCAGCAGTGGAATTGCTTCCTGTTCACCAGATGGTTGGCACCACCAACCCTCAACTGGTTCCAGCTCCTAGTGATACAGGAAATGACCACAAGGGGGCGGGAGGGAGAGGAAAGAGGACATCTGAATAAACCATGAAGGGCATAATATGAACTAAAGAGAAAAAAAGGGGGTTGACGCAGAGGTCAAAGGAAATAGCACTGGTTTAGGAAACAATGAATTGCAGTTGTGGTACACCGATCAGGGCATCCCTGAATAGCGGCCAATGTAGAGGAGTTTTTCAGGGGGGTTATTACCACRACAGTGGTTTTTAGAGGCAGTTCATTGGTTGGGGGCAGAAATCCTGAATTGCAAACCCATTCTGATTGGTGAGTGAATAAGGGTACTMCCAGCTGAGAAATGTTGAAGGCCAGAGGTCACTGACTTCTGTTATTCATCCAAGTCTTCTAGAACATTCTGCGGCTTAACCTTTAGCAGGTGCAGGTGCCATCCTCTTGCAACTTCCCAACTCAGAAAGATTCAGCATTAGTTACTTCATTTTCTTTCACAACAATAGTCACTTCAAGTTCCGAGAAATAAACATTCTATTATTCATTGAACCATCTACACAATAACAGTAAATCCTGGCTATGTGCCAGGTGTTATGCAAGGTGCCAATTATCCCGATCTGAAGAACCTGATAGTCTCCAGGAAACGATGGGAGCACTATGGTGATGCCTAACATTGGGTGCCAAGCTGAGGACAGAGCCCCACCTGCTATGAAAATGCAAAGTGGAATAAGGAGCGCTGCATGGGGTGTGCCAGACTCCAGAAAGACACCAGAAAGCAGACATATGATCTGAGTCTCAGAGTTTGAATATGCATTTGGGAAACCTTGCAGGCTGAGATTTCACATGAGAAGTACCACTGTGTTTCCCTTTTATATTTTATGTATATTTGTATGTATGTATGTATGSATTTTGGTACCAGGGATTGAATCCAGGGGCACTTAAATACTGAGCCACATCCCCAGCCCTTTTTTGTATTTTATTTAGAGACAGGGTCTCACTGAGTTGCTTAGGGCCTAACTAGGTTGCTGAGGCTGGCTTTGAAGTCAGGATCCTCCTGCCTCAGCCTCTTGAGCTACTGGGATTACAAGTGTGCGCCTTGCCCAGCTCCCCTTTATTTTAACTGACAAAAGAAAAATCACTTTAGAAACACATACAAGAGAACTCTGGTAGTTGAAAGAACCACTTATTAAGAAATAGAGAAGTTTTCATTAGGAAGCATTTTTTTTCTGTCTTTCTTTCTTTTTAAGAGATCAGATAGTTCTCTATTATTTGCCACAAAAAAAAATCACCAAAATAATTTCATCTTCGCTGCAGGTCTTACAGTGAAAGCACCAAGGCAATCATCTATATGATGAAAGATCACCCAACCAAAGAACTGTTTTCCTGTAAAGCCATAGGCTGTCTCCTAAAAAAAAAAAAAAAAAAAAAAAAAAAAAAAAAAGTAATGTCAGGAAAAAAGCTAGGTTTTGTAGCAGGTAGAAGACTGAGGTAGACCCATGTGTATTAATATAGAGAGATGCACTGTTACATTTACAAAGCACAGGTTCAGAACACTGGATATTATTGCTGTTAGGATATTAGGATCTGTACAGTAGACCTAGAAAAACAAATGCAAGCACAGCAATGGTTCTTGCTGAGGTGGGGGATTATGAAGCACTCATGCTTTCTGAAGGAGTCCTACATTTTGGTATTTTCTGAAGGAGTCCTACATTGCTTTAATCATTTAGAACAAATGTTTATTATTGTGAAATTTAAAAAATAAAGACTTGTTTAGAACATAGCTCTGTTAGGGAACAGACAGATGAAGATGGTAGTAACACAAGGTTAAGAGAATAAGTCTATTAAATGGGCCCACSGTGCCGACCCCCACATCCTTTCATTTCCAAGAAGAAATTTACCTGCAGCCCTGCCTGGCTTAAGTGGACAGGATAYGTCACATTCCTTAGCGAACTACCTGTTAACTGCAGAAGCAATGCAAGCCCAAGATAATTTTGATGGGAGGAAYCCAGGAGACTTTTGTGACCAGATCCTGAAACTCCRGGAGATAAGGATAGATCCTCCTAACCATAAAATCTGYAAGAATCCAATTAGAACCAGTCAGCATGRGCCAAAGTAACCTAGCGTTRCCATGACAGTGGGGACTTGAAAGTCTGATGTCACCTTGCYATCAGTTCAAAGTCAAGAGRAGGACCTGGGCAGAAGTCTCCAGAAACTTTTCTGGGATCCCCAATAAAATTGAAGTACATTATCCCCCTCCACTCTGAGAGGACCCACTCTCTCCCTTGAGAGTGTCCCCTTTCCCTTTTCCTATCTCTTCAATAAACTCATTCCGTTACTCTGAGTGATGTGYCTGAGATTTTTCTYACTTGRTCACAAGAATCAGGATTTGAAGAGGGGGTCTTCACTTTGCCTCAGTTTTTAGGAAGCCCCCAGCTCTGTAACAACTTCTATTTATGTTACTTGTGACTTAGTTCCAGAAAYGTGTGAAGAGAGGATTTCCCTCAAATGATACCATTTACCAACAGTTACAAGAAAAATTAAACCGATGATACTTAGAAAGCTATGATTTTTCTCATGCTGTGATTCCTAATGTCACTAAACCTGGCTCCTTTTCCCGCTATTCAGTTTGCCAACCTTAAAGTGACAAGTTTTGCAGAAGAGAGTCACCCAATGTGCGGAAGAGGAGCCCCCAGACCCAAATCTACCTCCCTGAGTGTAGTATTTRGGGTATTTGTGGGATGAAGAATGATGTGGTCTGAGGTGGCGGGGAGGGGTAAAGTGATCAGCAGTGTACACATGCATAAACAAAGCTCATGGATCATCAGTATCACTGACTAAACGGGTTCTTGTCTCCATCAGAAGAATCAGAATAAGGCACAACTGCATGCAACAACACTCTTTATTGGACTTCTTGCTGGAACAGAAGGGAAGCAGCACAGACCCAGGGTGTCAGGCTGGCTCAAAAAAAAAGGGTAAGGGTATACAGCTTTTAAGGCTTTTACAGGAAAGACAGGAACTTGGTTTCCTGGTGTTATCCCATGTAAAGGAGGAATTTTAGTTAACTCCTGCACTCTTCTTCATCCTACCTCTTCCTGTGTTGCAAGTCTTTTTACCATTTTAAGTCTCTGCCTGGGGTTGTGCATTGTACTATGCTAATGAGGTAAAGGTATAGTTTACTTTAGTGACTGTTCCACACAGGCGCCCTCTCCACCTGGAATTTGCTCCTTATTATAYGGGAAAGTTCCTAACTGGGATTTGGAACAGGGTAGACCATTGCCCTTCCTTGGTGGATTTGATTTTAATGATCTTGTGTCTCTTGGCTCTGGCCTCTTGGTGTCTCCACTGACCACATAGTCTTTGAAGGCTGAGCTGACTTCCTAACCTCCTGTCTCCTGGTGTGTTATCTTAGTTTAAGGCCTTTAAGATTGGTTTGCTTTTTAATTCCTAATTCTTAGCCTGAGAGCTACCTTGGCTGTCTTATTTCCCCTGAGAGTTTTTATCTTTTAATCCTAAGGACCTCTGTTCCTATGGGGGTCACCACTGTTGGTAGATGCATGTCCAGAGGAAGTTAACTTGATCTGAGGGTGGAGTTTGGGGCCCTTTGATGTCAAAAGGTTGACCACTTGACACTAATGCAGGCCCAAGTGAAGGAGTCAGAGGCCTCAGCCAGTTTGAGCTGAGCAAGGTTATCTCAAAATCCCTTTAAAAAAAAAAGAAAAAGAAAAAACACAGTTGTTCCCAAGGTGATCAGGCACCAGAAGCATTATCTAAGGAAAGTTAGCAGGGGTCTATGAATTTAGTGTTTAGTTAAACAACTTCTATAATCTTTGATAAAGCTAGAAGCTTTGTTCAGATTTTCTTTTGAGTTAAAAAAAAAAGTGCTCTGTTTTTTAAACTTTAGGAAGAATGGATCAAGCCTCTTCAAAAAAAAAAAAAAGAATACATCAATTATTTCATTATGGGGACTTGGTTACACTAGTCTAGTATATACGCTCCACAAATGCTGACACTCTGAGGGATAAGATAAACATATAGAAAGATGAGCAGATTTCATTTTTGGAAACTTTAGCAGTATCACTTTGTTGAAAACTATTTGGAGTTGTTAAATAAAATTTCTAAGAGGTCTTGGTTCAGACTGAGAGCCTAACTACTGGGCTCAAAAGACAATACCAAAATAGAGTTACTCATTGTTGGGGCAGGCCCCAAATAGTTATAGTTAGGCTCTCTTGATGAAGCTTCTGGCAGGCTATGTTTTTTTGTTATGTTTTTATTATRTAGCCATGAACCAGCTATGTTATGGTTAGTGTGTAACCAAGCTCAGAAACACTCTGAGTCAGTGTATATACTCAAGGTTGTAAACATTTGCTGGTAAGCATGCACTCACTAATGTAATCCCTTGGTGGTGTGCCTTCTTTCTTTGGACTGTATATAAAAAATGGGACTAAATGGAACTGGCTTGGGGCATAATGGAACTGGCTGGAGCTAGGGGATGGCTATGGTCTACCCCCAACACCCCCAATAAAGGCTGACTCCTATCCCAACTGTGTCTTGCATCTTCTTCTACCTGCCAGGATCTTGAATCTGCTTTCTGGGCCTGAGCCTCACCCCTCAGGTTGACCCCCGGTGTAGTTAATAGAATGTTCCACAGGTGAGAGATCCATCACTCCAGTGGACAGAAGGGGCCTATGGCATGTAGCACTTGGTTGCCAACACCCTATTAGCATGGACTCCTTTGTAGAGTTGGGATATGGTGAAAGGGTTCCCTGTGAGCATAGAGACTTCTGATTATTCTGCAGTGAACATGGACTTGGTAGACTATGAACTGAGCAGTGGAGCCCAGGGGCTGGCCCACAGCCAAGGACAAAGATGGCGGTGGAGGTAGAGATGAGATGGAGAAACTGCCTGAGGAGCTGCACACACAGCCCCTGGGGCTGTGAGATAAATGTTTCTTGTAGCTTTGAGAGCAAAAACTAATGCAACTTTACCAGAAACTACCAAGATGAGGGAGTTACAAGATAAAGAGGACTCAAGAACCAGAGTATGGTTGCTGAAGGAGGATCTCCATACCTTGAAAATACCCCTCGGCCTCCTCTATGGCACTGATGGTGTCTGAGGAGGAGAAAGAATAACTCCTGCAAGCCCAGACAGTGGTATGCAGAAAATGAAATGGCAGCAGCTGGTTCCTTATGGGCAGCCACTGGAAGGGCCAGCCCAGGTAACCAGGCATGATCTGCCTGTAGAGCAGAGTTGATAGACTTGGGAAAATAATTTGGACAGAGGCCAAGAGAGCCCTTGGTGGCTTTGTTGTTATGCCTGAGAGATTTAAGGGTACCAAGAGCTGACAGGGGCAAGAGTCCCCATGTGCTACATGTTACTGATCATGCACAATCTTGTGACTAAGATGTGCTAGGAGCCAGGAGGGACCAAGAGACTTCAGGAGGTGCTAGGCCCATAAACTATTTGGTGAATGCAGGTGAACCTGAATCAAGCCCATACATTGGAGGTAAGGCACCTATACTGTCCAGTGTCTGTTACACTGATAACTCCAGGCATGGACAACTGCCTCTGTGAATGGCAGTGGCTGTGGAGCTAGAAACAGATACTGTCTAATTTGTTACTGGTGTAGGACAAAGTAGCCTGCGAGCTGAGCTGCACACTGTCTAGATGATGATAGCAAATGAAATATCCCCACAGTGATATGTACTGACGGTTGTGCTATCTATTGCGGGCAAACTCTGTGGCAAGAGCCCTGGGAGCTAAGCCACCAGGAACAGGTGACCACAGCATATCAATGGCCATGACCCCCTGACTAGCCCAGGGAATGATGAAGCAGATGCTATGGCAAGGATTCATTGTTTAGAGCAGGTGCCTCTCATTGACTTGGCAGCAGGGTGCATTGCTGCTTATGGCATGCAGGTCTGGCATGGAGGTATGAAGACTGTGGAATGTGGTCAAACAGTGGGGCCTGCCTTCAGTGTGGGATGCCCTGGTGGAGGGCTGCCAGGCATGTGTGGTTTGTGCTCAGGAGTGTCCACATTGCCAACACCTTGGAGCCATGGATGGCCAGGTAATGCGGAGACGTAACCCTTTGACACAATGGAAGGTTGACTACATTGGCCCTTTACCAAGGTCAGAAGGGGCCACCTGAAGGCAGGGGATACAACTACAGGCTTGTGTGCCTGGCCTGGTGGTCAAGAGAATCAGCATACTACATTCAGCACCCTGACAGTGTTGACAGTGTGGATGGCTGACCCATCACAACAGAGAGTGACCAAGGRACTCATTTTACAGGTCAGTATGAACAGCAATGGGCAACTCAGAGATTCAATGGAAGCTGTATTCTCCCAGGTGGATGTGATTTACCTGTACTAGTGCCTGTAACTGCTTCCTCCTTTTGTTTCTATGTCCTCTCTTACATCATTGTAAACTGGGTGCATACCAGAGCCAGAGTAGCAAACACCTCTTCCTGCTGGGTTTGTACCAAAGTGCCTGTGAGTTCTGCTGCTGGATTGTCAGGCAAATCCGGACTATGTCCCTGAACAAATGGACATGGCTGGGAAAGACTTTGATTGCCATCTCAATATGGGATGAAACTAGCACTGTTTTTTTAGTACTCTTAGGTGATAGGACTTGTCTTTTGGTTGTATGTTGTTGCACTTGTATTGTTGTGGCCTGTGGATTCAGGGCTCTGCTCTCCTCCCTAAGGGATCATTGCAGAAGACTTCAGATGCATAGATCATAGAGTGAGGAATCCTAAAAGGATGGATTTGGGGGGAAGACCCCAAATGGCTACAGTTAGGCTCCCTTGCTGAGGCTTCCAGCAAACTATGTTTTATTTGGCAGTCTATATTATATTTGGCGGGCTATGTTATGTTTTATGCTATGTTTTTAGCATRTAGCCAAGGCCATGACTCAGCTATGTTATGGTTTGCGTAACCAAGGTCAGAAACACTCTGAGTCAGTATATGTACTCAAGTTATAAATATTTGCTTGTGAGCATGTGCCCACTGATGTAACAYGTTGGCAGTGTGCCTTCTTTCTTTGGACTATATATAAAAAGAGGACTAAATGGAACTCACTGGGGACTAAATGGAACTGGCTTGGGGCATAATGGAAATGGCTGAGGGCTGAAGCTGGAACTAGGGGATGTCTAAGAGCTATTGCCCCCCCAAAATAAAGGTTAACTCCTATCTCAACTGTATCTTAAGTCTTTTTCCACCTGCCAGGATCTTGAATCTGTACCCTGAGCCTGAGCCTCAACAACAGCACAACATTCATGCAAAAGGTTCAGGTCACCAAGCTGAACTAAGTTGTTTATCTAACTTTCCAAGAAATCAGGAGAGAGAGAGAGAGAGAGAGACAAGCTATCAAATTCCCAAAACAGGCCAGCATTAGCTGGGCATGATAAGGAAATCCCTTCACCTTCAACTTTTACAAGGAAAGTTACTTTGAAACAACCACTCTGCTTTTTGTTGTGTTTCTGCTTTCCTCAGCCCTTTTCTGTCTATAAAGCCGCCCTCTTCTGACACACTTGTTCTATAAAACAGAACTCTAGAATTGCAGATAGAAGCTGTGAATATCTTTGAATTTATTGTGATTTTTGTCTTTTGACAAAGCTGACGGAAGTACTTTTTCTGTGGAACTAAAGAAGGCTGATCACGTGTTCAATAACCCACAATTCTTAGAGACAAATGATATTTGGATGAAAAGACAGAAATTTACAGGCTAGTAAATTCCCAGAAAATCAATTCACATAGAAACATCCAGAATGTTATCTCTAGTTCTTTTTGTGTATCTTAGAATACCCATGAAAATCTTTGTTAATGTGCAGTCAATTTACAAATACTTATTAAACCACTTGGAGCTCCAGCCGGGACACAGCAGGGAGCCGTTGCACTCAGAGCTTCTTTAGTGGGAAAACACAGTAATAAGAAAACATATTAAAAAAAGAATTGTAACTTTCAGGTAGAAATATAATGCGGATGTAATGAAGCAGGCAAAGTAATGTGACCAGGTTGCTATTTTTTGAAAGGTCAGGAAGGCCATTTAAGGAACTGTGTGTGACATCTGAGCTTGGACTTGCAGGAAGGAAGGGAGCTGGGATGAGTCCTGAGGCAGGAGCACGACAAGAGCAGGGCCCAGCAGCAACAAGAACTCCTCAGTATTCTGAGGTAAAGAACATCCCAAGGGGGCTGGGGATGTGGCTCAAGCGGTAGCGAGCTGGCCTGGCATGTGTGTGGCCCAGGTTTGATTCTTAGCACCACATACAAACAAAGATGCTGTGTCCGCCAAAAACTGAAAAATAAATATCAAAAATTCTCTCTCTCTCTCTCTCTCTCTCTCTCTCCTCTCTCT